TACTGTTTAATCTATCAAGTTAAAAATTAAAAAAAAAATCTTATTTCCAACAAAAATCAGCGCAGTGATAAAGCTTAAGTACCGTACTACGTCATAAATTATTCTTACGTAACTAGAATTTGTGCAATTTCCTTGGAAACAAAATTAGCTTGTTTTCCTTCCACCAACGCATAACAGTTATTAAAGTTAAGCGCACACCGGCAAATTGTAATGGCAACGAAAATATAGCGCATTGCTGCCGTCTCACTTCGCTTTCGCAGTAAAATTTTATCTCCCCAAAGTGCGCAACTTTCGCATTTATTTTTGTAATTTCAAATTTTAATTTTTTCCCCCCTAAAAGACACAAGTGGCAGCTTTACACTCTTACTTGCCTCATTTGCAACTGCCTTTTGCATCCTGCAAAGCTCTTCAGCTACTTAGCACATTTAATGCGCTTCTGAACATATGTTTTTGCCGGCGCACAACTGAGTGACTGTGTGTTGAGCATGCGGTATGTCTGTGTGTGTGTCAATGAGCGTGTACTAGTTGCTCGCTTTTTGGCTTGTTGTTGTTTGTTGCAAGTTTTGTGTGTGTATATACTATATATGCGCTTTTAGTTAGTTGTAGATGTGTGTAATGTCCTATATCATTTCAAGTGCTTGTTATATTGTATATTTTTGTGAATTTTTTGTTGTAGTTGTATGTTAGTGAATAAGGCTAATATGTTAGTAGCAAACCTTCTGCCGCTTTTTTAAAAGCATACGTAATTAGCACGAGAAGTGCAGTTATGCATAAAGTGGTTTTTAACATATAAATGCAAAAAGGATATTAGAAACGAGTAAGGAATGGCTAAGTTAGGGTGCAACTGAACATTTTATATTTTTGCAGCGTGCAGTAATCAATCCTAGGGAAATTCCTTATAATAATCTAAAGGATCGGAATCCAATATTCATACACTGACTGACTTATTCGACAAGAGGTTCGGTACCGATTTTACCCGAAAATTCGAAAATCTTTTTATTAGGTATGTGGCGGCTCATGGAAGTATTGGCTCGATTGAACTCATTTTCGATACACAGCCTAACTTTTATCACGGAAGGATTCTCTCTGAATTGCAATTATATATCATATATGTATATATGGATGTCTAATTTCAAATTATATTTAAATTAACAATAAATCTACAAATTAGATGATAAAATGCCAGTTAATTTAAAAAAAAATTTTATTTCAAATTACAAAAAATTGTAAAGGAAACTATTAAAAATTATTCGAAATTTAAAAAAAATAAAAAAAAATTAAAAAATTTTATCTGTTAATTAAAAAAAATTGGCGTTCAAGCAAAGAAAATCTTGAAACATGTCCGAATTTGTAAAAACCCTTAGAAGAAGAGTTTAAAAAAATTTTCGAGTGAAAAACGAAATTTCCAAAAACAAAAATTCCAACAAAAATGATTTCCTTGCTCCCAAAAAAAGCAAAAATTTAAAAATTTTCGAGATCGAAACAGAAAAAGAAAAAAAAATTAAGTGAAAAATAATTTTTACAAAAATAATGATTGTTTTGTTCCCATAAAACAAAAAAGAAGAAGAAGTAAAAATAAATTTTCGGGTTTAACTAAATTTTGTGAAAAAAAATTATTTCATCGGTCCAAAAAAAAAAAGTACATACCTTGAATTAAAAGTTGTCCGATTTTCCAAGTCAATGAAAAAAAAATCAAATTTTTTCCTCAGAATAGTTCACAAAATCCTAGTGTAAATTATTAAAAATGGCTTCGTAGCTTTTAATTGACCCATATACTTACGTTTTCAACTAAAAAAAATTTCTATAGCGAAGCTTTCATCTTACCATTACTTAAGTTTTCAAAAACGATTAAAACTATAACACATTCCTAAAGCTCAGCTAAATATATTAACTAAAAACTCTTTGCCTTTCACACAAAAACAATTGTCGCGTAATTTTCACAAACGCATTCTGCACTTAAATCCTTTCAAAGCACTCAATGCTGGCTGCAAAATCAGAGCTGTCAAGCTAAAGAATTTTCTTTATTACTTCTTTGGATATTTGCACCACTTTTTATGCACAGTACTTGCGATAATATCCTGCTTTGTCAATTCACATTGAAATTCAATATAATTTTTAAATCGAATATTCGCGCACTTCAAAAGTCAATCAAAAATGCTAATAAATGAAAGCTCGCGCACTGACGCAGCTTGCAGTGTCAACAGCTTACATACATATGTATGTAAATACAACACACCTTGGTGCTACATAACGCCAATTGCCAATGCAATGACAAGCGGAAGAGGTGTGTCGCGCATATCGTCATGCCACAGTGGTGACATAGATGATGCAACACTTCCGCTTTAAGCGCTTCTGATAGACCCGTCAAGGCGGCCTGGAGTTGAAAGCCAAAAACCAGTAAAAAAAAAAAAAATAAATAATAAAAAATTAAATAGAAAAAATTAAAAAATACAATAAAACTTCAATTCATTCAAATGTATGAAAAAGCGCCCACATAATGTCGCTCAAGCATTTAAAAATGCGTGCAACATTAAGTGGCACATTTTCTGCCGTTGCTGGCACGCCACACATGCACTTTGTCACGCAGCCGCGAGGTTGCGGAAATTTGTTAAAAAGCGATTTACATTAAAAAAAATACTACGCATACAAATTCCTCCGCACACACGTACTCACATACATTTACACGCACATACTTGCTGAAAAACGACGGCCTGCGGCACTTAGCATAGCGTAAAGCGTGCTCATCCAGCAGGACTTACTTCAGCGTTTTGTGTGGCGGCACGCTTGCATGCCTGTGGCGAGAAAAGGCAGACAAAGCGCAAAAAATTTCAAAGAAGATATGTATATCTTTTGTAAAAAAATGTCTGAAAATATTTAAATGGGTATGTGCATATATGGATGTATTTAAGGCATATACATATATATATAGTTATTATATGAGAGAGCGAGAGGCAAATTACTTTTTTCCGAAATATGCTGAACTGCTCAACTGCCTACCACAGTTGAACAATTGACGGCAGTATCTAGGAGCTTATGAATAACCTTCAATAAAATAAAAAAAAAAATCATGTGTGCTGAAAAACAAAGCGAATCAACAAGAAGTTGCCGCTTTAATGCTTCGTTTGAGCACAGCGGATACAGCAGCTCCAAGTTGAAGTGTGCCGCTTTTCCTACTTTTTTACAAAGCTATTATTTGAATATTGGTTCCAGAATCTGAATAAGTATGAGTCCACAGAGATACACAAACACATACATATGTTAACTATTATGTGTAAGCCAGTTGAGCCGCGGTGCTTTGGTGCTACTTCAAGTGGTTTTGTTTGCGAACAATTGACTGGAATACACATAAAAGGAGGGTCATACAAAGCATGTGGCACAAAAGGATGATGCGAGAGGCTTTAATCAAGAAAATTAGAGAGGAAAAAATGAAGGGATGAAGGGGCTATTTTGAAATGTTTGAGCTAACCAAGCGGTTACTTAATTTGGAGTTATCTATAATATTTT